AGGAGGACCCGTGCTACGATAACATCAAGCTGTTATGAAGTTCTAGCACATGCACTTTCTGCAGTTTCAGTGAACACATAAAAATTGTTTTTATGACACAGGAAGAGGGAGATTCCAGGAAAGATTCAGACTGGTTAGCATAACTTGATGGACAGGGATTAGGAATTTGCTCCATGCATTGGGGGCTATACAAATAATTTCATAATTCTACCTTGGTACCCAGCGTGACTATTTCAACCTCTCTGACATCACCACATGGACAGTCTATACTCTCACCATTCTTACTGAGAGAGACAGAGAGACAGAGAGAGAGAATGAAGAGAGAGAAAATGTTACTAACTCAAACCTCAAGTTTTTCTTCTTTGAATAAATGTATACAGCTCATGTTCTGTGGACCTAAGGTTACTAAGAAATCCTCCATGTTGGGCACATTTGGGTTCAGCACAGCGTATTAAGCCAGGGACCAGCACAGTGCACATATAGCTAACCTTCCCCCAGCCCTGAGCTGGCTGGGGTGATGGAGGCAGCCTTCAATGTGTCTGCACCCTGGCATGAGTTTATCCACAAAGAGGCTGGGCTGCCCATGCATGAAGGGAAGCTGACTGCACAAACACTTTCATATCCAAAGTAACTTCTTTCCTTCAGTTCTAGTATTCCCCTTTACCATTTAATCTGAAAGCAGATTACTTTTAAAAACAGGAACAAACTTAATGACCCCACTTCATTTTTATTAAGTAAGAGAAAATAAAAACCCATCAGACAAGTAAAAAACAAACAAGCACTGTGATACAGCCACCTTCTATTGTCAGAATGGAGAAAGAAAGTAATACATTTTTACATTAATTTATGCTAGTATATCTGTTAAAGAGTAAAAAGTCTCCCATTACGTAATCCAAACAGATGGTCAGAAATTATAGCTTCTGCAGTTTTAACAAGTTACTGCTGATCTTCAGTAGTAACTAATAAATGTATACTCCTAGCCTGCCTTAACTGCAACGTAAATCACTCAACCCTAAAAGAACTGAAGACAAACTATTTTAGGTTTAACTGAAGAGACTACACAGGAGTTACTGTGGCTCTGCTATTCCGCTAAGCTGTTAGAGTGATGAAGCCATCGTTTATAAACTTCGGTTCTTACCCGCAGAAGACCAAGGTGCATAGAGATGATGGTCAAAGGGATCATTAGGACTAACTAGTCATGCCTCCTGTACTAGGACAACACAATTTCCCTCCATAGATCCTGCATCAATCCTCAATTTATGGCTGAGCTATAGCACAAGTTTTAGATAAATCATCCCAATTCATAGGACACTTTCACTGCTGAATATATCTGAATCTATTTACCATTCAGCATCCAAACTCTGTAACCCTTTAAAGTTTGTCTCCTTACTGAAGTGTTGTCTACTCAAAGAGGTCTTCTCTCAATGTGCATCCTCGAATGCTGGTTAATTAACGACCTAAGCTTCCCAAGATTTTGACTAAACTGATATAAGAGATACCAGAGTCTAGGCTTCAAATATCTAGGTCTACAAGAGACAGGATGAAAAGTAAATTAGAAATACTGAGAAAAGCATATGACATACATATTACACAGGGTTTTGATGTTAAGGGAAGCTGACATGGAAAAATAGAGGTACTCACCACTCATTTTTAAAATTAGCAGTTTAATATACATATCATTCCATAAACAGACTGCATGACACATAAATAGACTGAACTCCAGTGACAAATATACTGATAAGTATAATTTTTTAGTTTTCTTTCTAAATATATCAACGAAAAAACTAGATATGCAAGACTGAAGAAAAGTACAAAACATATTTCATTCTATATAAATATTTGTTTTCTGAAAATATCAATAAAATCACTTATAGAATGTATAGAGAAAACATTTTTATTAACACTCCAGCCTCCTCAATAAGGAAAGGAGCTCTGGGTCTAAAAAAAGGTGCTTAACGCAGCCAAAGAAGCTGTTGATACTAATGTCCAAAATAAATCCAGCTTTGCCTTGTTATTTAAAGTATATAAACATATCAACATTTGGGAAATTTCATCAGTGAAAACTGAACTTCAGTTATTTAACTTAAAAAACAAACTCTCTCTACATAGGTTTAAGCAAATACTGAAGTCTACCTCTCCTGTTCTTGCTTCATTCGTATTCTCTCCTCTTCTGAAGTAAGAGCTTCCTGCACTTTTATTTTACCAGTTTTCTCACTCTTGTCATCTTTGCGATGTTTGCCAAACCTGTTAATAACACACAAAAAAAGAATCTAACTTGTGAAACGAACAAAACCGTATTTTCCTTTTCCTACGACAAAGAGAGTCCTCCAAGAAAGGCTGCTTGGAAACCAGGAAGGTAAAGTGCAAAGACCTCAGAAGCTCAATTTTTAATATTTTCAGGCTTCTTTTGGGTTTTTCGCGTAGGGTTTTTTAATTTTATTTTTAGTTCACTCCTCTCAAAAGTTTAAAGAATTCCTCACTAAAGAACAGAACAAAGCAAGCAAACAAACAAAAAAGAGGACCATATTCCTTTTTTTCTGCCAGGATTTTTGGGGTCATTATTCTTAAATACATGGTCAAACATTGTTTTGGAAATTACTCAACACTATCACTGCCAAAGAATGCAACTCAAGTTTACATTAAGTGAAGGCTTTCATTGTGTGATCTGCAAGACACGCGGCATTGTATGTCTGACAACTGCCCAGAGCACAGTACCACCCACAGCACCCGCCCCACAAGAGCAGTTTCACTACACAGTGGACACCATACAAAAATGGAAATTTATTCTTTTTCAGCACAACGGGTTTTTTTGAACTTTGTTACTTGTGATTTTCCCCCAAGGATGTTCCAGTGCAAGGAGGGTGAGTGGAGGGGTGGAGCTGGCTGGTCTGTCCCAGACGGAGTGGGATGCTGCCAGCCCAGTGTTTGCCCTCATCATGTCTCCTAAAATCTTTCCCTCTGTGGGCTACATGTCAAGTACTTCAGGTTTCTTCTATATTTGCACATTACACTGTTTCTTTTAGACTTTCAGGGAGAGCACAGTCTGACATTTGAGATAGTTATTATCAGGAAAAATTGTGTGTATTGCTATAGATGCTTCAGACCTACCCCAAAAGGAATGGCTTTTGTATAGAGTGAACTCAACAAACACTTAAATACAGCCCAAGTTTAGACGACAATTTTCTACTTAAGGCAGAAGGGATAACACATATCTGTTAAACAGTATCTTATCATAACAGATTTGTTAAACACAGGATCATCAATCACACCAAAAGCAGCAAGAATTTTACTTTTTTAAATTAAACACTCAGGTGAGAACTAGACGGACACTTGTCGCACTTCACATTCAGACTCACAACAAAAGTGAAATGAAAGCACTGAAACATGCAAAGTCCAGCAATGGTGCGCACAGGACACCCCAAATGCTCTCAAACAGTGAAATAAAACACAAGAGTTCTTAAAACTTTCTTCTGACCCATGAACGTAAACTGTTTAAAATGTTTAGAGTCCACCAGGCATTTATTATATTTCCCTTTTTGTTCCTGTTGATTCTAGTACAAAGTCACGTGAGGGCTGAAGACGTACCACACAGTGACCCTGCAGGAAGATGAATTTTTGGGCACTCAGTCAAGAGACATTACTATACTGCATAACCATGTTTATGGCTCTTAGGGCAGCTGTCTGAAAACACAACAACATAAAAGTACAGCATAGGAGCATGTACACAAACTTTAAAGTGCATGGCTGTTCTCCCCATTTCCCAGGCTGCTCATTTCCAAAGTAATTCCGACATAGCAAAACTAAAATTGTTCATTAATAATCATCTGAAAAGGGAAAGGCAGAGGACTTGACAGGGTTAAGAACCATAAAATACTACATAAAGTCTCTGATTTTATATGTTATATGTAAACCTGACATACTCAAGTTCAATGACTAGAAACACCAGCATGTATCTTTTAAAACATCCAGCTGTTTATTAGACAGTAGTCAAAACCATGATACAAAACATTTACATATATGACACAAGAGATTCAAATCAAGTTCTAGATGTCACACACCTGACAAAAGAGAATGGTTAATTTAAAATAGCCCTAAATCCTCTAGCCAAGAGAGGAGTTTTGGCAGAAAAACAGTGGAACTGAGCCATATTACCCTGATACACAGAGAGTGCTGGGGGAGGCAGGGATCTGATTGATGGAACACCCAGAGCTGCGAGGAGACACACAACGTATGTGGCACTTCAGCAAAGCATCTCTGGGATGCCCGTGTTTGCTTCTGTCTCCTGCCCTTCCTTGACCCATTCAAAATGTTAGGCAAAGCAAAAGAACCAAATTCTGGAGTAGCCAGTTTATTTGTGAAAAAGAAATAGTGGTTAAAAAAAAAAGAAAACAAAAAGATAAAATGGAATTAGTTACTACCCATCAAGTTTTGTCAACAAAACAATTTCTACCACCATAAATCAATTCATTGCAAGTATGAGCAGAACTATATTGAAATCAATACTTTATCAAAAAAAATAAAGTACACAGGAAATATCTAATAATCCTTGTAAGCATTCTATTAAATGTCTGGTCAAGCTGTGTGATTGTGGGGAGAGTACTTGTAATGTTAACACATAAGGCAAACCTAGCAAAAATCAACGTTTTGAGTTTCCAGATCCAGCTGTCATCCGAGTCCAGAACAAACCACGCTCGTGCTGCCTTTCAGCACAGGCAGAGGTGGGTTCACCCCACAAGCAGCGCTTGGCACAGCAGTAGTGTTCAATCTGCTTTGACTTGTGAGAAAGACATGGCAACAGCCCTTCTTCTCTTTCACAGTTTTCTTCTGATCACCTTGAAATCAATGTTCCTTCTGCCCTCGTGGTCAGTCCTGATAAAGTCTTCAGAAGACATCTCTGGTCCTTTCCCAGGCATTTCAAAGGGTGACCATATTGTCCCCACTCTGACCAGAGACTTTCCAGCGCCCGTTTCTGACAAGCTCTGTGATCATCCTGGCAGCGGACAGCCTGGCAGAGTATGAACCACGGTGGTCTTGCAAAGTTGCCTTCTCTGGACTTTGTCACCCGCAGAGTGATATATCTGCCATAATCACCACTGCCTGTAACAAGTTCAGCAACATTAACTGCACTGCCCCTACACTCGAACCCACAACAATCAACGGCATCCTCCCCCCTCCCTGATTGTGGCTTTGTGTTTTTAACAGCATGACCAGCACAGATAGTATCTCATGACACTCATAAGTCAAGAAGCTGAAAAACAGTTTGGAAACACACAGCCCGGTATGAGTCTGCCTCTGAACAAGTCTGCATACTTATAGCAAGACCTCTGTGCAAAAATATTTACAAGTTCAAGATTTCTCTCTCCCATTGAGATTGCAAGTCTAACAGCATCTCTGTCAAGCTTCAGCTTACAACAGTAGAAGTAACAGACAAAGGAAAAACATTTTCCAGGCTCCACAGAACACTTGAGAAAGGTGTTTAAGAGAACTGTGATGGAGATACATATGTACACACAACAGACACACACACACATGCGTACACCCCTCATCTTTCATTTCTGCAGAAGCAGGCAACACTCCCCATTCCAAACATCATTCAAAGGCTTCAGTAAGATTACTCCTACTAACAGCAAGTGTGCTTGCTATTTATTTCTATTAAAAGTGCTTGCTCCATGAAGTACGATTTATAGTCATAATGAAACCCATAGCCCAAATCAGCATCCTCTCCACCAAATTTATAGAGACATTTAGAAATTATTTAACATTCATATTCAAGCCAGGTTTAACTGCAGCAGAGCAACATCCAGCAATACTAAGGCACACCATTAAAGTGAACTGTTAAACACTCACTCAACTGTACAACCCTATGTACTGTGACTGCACTGGTGCCAAGCTATTCAAAATCACCAGTCCTAATTTCCTCAGGTAGATGTTTCTTACTCTGATTCATGAATATTAAGTAAAACAGAACACTAGAAATAAAAATAAAGAGTATTGAGACCACTGAAATTCAAGCAGTCTGTGCAATATCCTTTCAAAACACCAAAAGCACATCTCACAGGCGCCCTGCACTGACTCCACAGCCAGTGGTACAGCCCTTCCCTGCTGCTCTCCAGTGGCCATGTGTAGTTGCACGTGTCAAAAGAAGCAAAACAAGGGTCAGATCCCCAGAATTGCTCCTGGTATTTAAAACACCCCAATTTGAATGCATTGGCCCAGGGGAAAGATCTGGCTTACCTTTGTAAAAGTTTCACCTTCTTAAACGTGCAAGCGGTACAGTCCCTGACTTGACCCATGAACACTAATGTACATGAGACCTTCCTCACAACCCACCAGCATTTGCATCACTGTGAATCTTACTTCTTTACTGCTCAGCCACTCAAAGGGAAGGGAAGATGGAATTAGATCTGACCCATACATGACCCATGGCAACTTTGGAACCTTACTGCTTCCGATACCATTTCTTCCATAATGCGTATATTGAATGTCCTGGCACACCCGCATAATGAACTTCCCCCACTGAAGAGACTGCTCACTTAATGATAACAACCTAAGGCTGTAAACTCCCAAAAGTGCAATTGTTAATGATTATCTTCCTTGTGAAATAGCAATCACCATCCATTTGTCCTGTGTCAGATTGACTCTAGACTTTTGCAAGGACATGGCCTTGAGGATAGTGCCAAGTGATTTGATCCCCGCCCTCACTGCTCACTTCACAGGCGCAGGAGCTGTTCTCCACTGCAGGCAGCTGGTTAGAAACACCTGGAGATTTTCAGGCACTTGTCTGAACCTGTGATGGTTTCATTCTGATTGCTGTGAGGCTAGCTGCTGGGATACTTGTTGCAGTTCTTACAAATGCAAATAACATTACACCTCGCCTTCTGAAGCAGACATGAGAACTCAACAGCTCAGGCTCTGTGCACCATCAGCGTTCCTTGCGTTACTGAGAGGAGGACAGCATTTAAAAACAAAGGTAAGAACTACTGTTGGAATTAAAAAAACAAAACAGTGCAGAAAAGGAGCAGCTGTGATACTGATGTTCAGACAGTTCTGAGAATCTAATTCTAAGCTCCTGTCATTTGCTAAGTTCAGTGCCAACAATTTAACGGTGAGCTATAAAAGCTCTGCCTAAATCAGTGCACAAGATACCAATGTATAAACACAAGCTACCAAATGATGTGCAGCAAAATTGTGTACACTACTGCCTCACAAATTAACATACTTATGACAAAAAAAGTTCTGATGCTACAGCTTGATCTACATGGGATACTGGAGCACCTGCAGCCACAGCAGCACAACACTGACCTGTGGCCACCACTTCCCCCAGTCTGCATTCTTAGAAGCAGAGTATGGAGCATTATTACTCACGGTGGAAAATAAAGGGCAAAAGGAAAGTGCACATTTTCCTCCAAACCCCAAATAAGAAAAAAATTTACCTTTCTGTTAATAAACATATTCTTTCATAGACATAGCTTAATAATTCTTTGAGGACACATATTGTATGGTTATAGAATAATCTCTTTATAACAGTAACAATGTTTATGAATACAGGAACAGTATTCCATGTAACAGCTAGTTCATTCAGTAGCTTTCTCATCTAAACCCTGTTACAAAAAGTACAGCCAAAAAGTAGTTTAATTTTCTTTCATAACGGCATAAGCAAAAGCTTCAAGAGAAAACTTCTATGACTAATTGAAATACAGGTTGTAAATTAAAAATACCCTGTCTATCCAAGAGTGTGAGAAACTGATGAAAGAGAGCAGCTGAAATCTTGTTCGCTCTAATTGCCAAGATACTCCAGGGTTCTACTTAATTTATAGCTTCTTAATTCTCCTTTTACATTAAGGGTTAGAGAAAGTTTCAAGATAAGTGTTAATGCTCGAAGTCATATTCACAGATTCACAGACTTAATCCTCAAATTCAGCCAACAATAGCAATCACAGTGAGTGAAGAAATTAAAAAATGTACCAGGACCATTTTTAAAAAGTATAGTCTCTAGAACACAACAGCCAAGTCACATCAGAGGAAAGGACCACCCTCAGACCCTGTGATTCTAGTTTGTCACACTATTATCAATAAAAAGATGAGAACACAGACCTACATGCCCAAAGCTTGACCTTCAAATACGAAATCCCATGAACCCTGGATAATCTAATAAAACCAAAATGCATATCCCAACCTCTCTGTCAGTCCTTAGCTGATAAGCTTACTTGTTTGAATGACTGTCACCAACTAGGAGGTGGCCAAATCCAAAGCCTATCGCACCCCCGACAGAGGCACTGACTAGCAAGTCTCTTCAGTGGCTTTGGGCCAATGCATCAGAGCAACTAAACAGTGCGAGACACAACAGAGGATATAGTGTAGCAGAACATTTAAAGAACAAGCTCAAGCTACAACATGCTGCCATATATATAAAATATATGAAATGTACATAAAATACACATGTAGACATGTAAATGATTTTGCATAAATAAATACATAGAACAAATGAAGAAAGGATGCTGTATGGGTGATAGCAACAGAAACTCCATGCTTACACCTTATCTCAAATATCAGCATACTTGACATCACAAAAATAATATACATATTATCTGCTAAATGCATTTTACTCTGATGCGTTACTGATGAGATTGTTGTCAAATCATCCACATATTTCATTAGAATACACAGCTACAGAAGGCTATACTAATGCATTAGTTGATTAATGAAAAAACACAAAAAATTAGAGACAGAAGTTCAGTAGCATTATGTTCCTTAATAAAAAGAGACCATCATTAAAAATTAACAAAGGGTAAGTGTCTTGAGCTGTTCTACCAGTGCTTTCTGTCTTCAAGGCACGCTCTCTTCCCCACAGTAGCAAACGGTATTCACACACACACACAACCCAACACTATTCAAAGGATTTTGCAATGATTTCTGTAATCTTTTTCACCCTGCTGTATCAGCAAAATCATGTTATATTGCGAAAGATTATTGTGACACTCGAAAACATTCTGTTTCTAAAATAAAACTTAATAAACATAAACAAGGATTCAACATAGCGCACAAAAAAATCACCCTGCTTAGCTATGACTTGAGGGTTTACAAGCCTTCCTTTCAAAGCAAAATTGTGCAAGTGATATCTTTAAAAATAAGCTTGTAAGTGCAAACATTTACATATTTGCAATGGATTTCTAGGAATAGCCAGTTGCCACAACTAAACAAATTAGTAGATCAAATTCTGCTTGTTAGGAGGGAGTGGAATGACTCCTGGAGTGCCTCAGCAGCCCCCCTGTCCTGAGATGATAGAACAGCACTGATGCCCAGGCAGCAGGAGCATGGCACCTGCATATAGGAGCTTGTGGGCATAGTTAAAATGGATATTTAAAACTTTTCATTTTGCACAGCCTTCCTTGCCTATGTTAAAACTGATAAAGCAGCAATCCTTCTGGTGTAACATTCAGCAGAAGAACCCTGACAGTTCCTGGAGAACTCTGCTGTCCCACACCAAGAAAGGGGCACTACAAAAGGACACAAGTAACTCATGAAAATGGAGAATACCTCTGGAAAGGTACACTTGTACCTCTTCAGAGCAATAAGGTTTGCCTTCAAGCAACAGAGAAACTCACATGCTCAGTGATGAACACAGAAATTTAAAGCAGGAGAGTCGAAGTGGTTATCACTCTAAATTATGAGCCCTCTCTGCAGCTGCCACCCTGTGCATGAGTGCTGTAAAGCACCTGAAGGTCTCCCGTGATGTATTCACACATTTCATACGGACATCCTCTGCCTGACTTCCCAGCCACTGAAAACCATTTTTCAGCACCATTCAGGCGGGGATTCTAGGACACCTCGCCAAACTAAGGCTACTCAAAACCAGTAGTGAGGATGGCACAAAAATCACAACGCTTCATGTGCAACATCACCAGTGATTCCCATAACAACCTCCTGAAAGAAGTGGAAACAACATATGGGATCGGTAACCGTTTCCAGCCACTGAAGCTTAATCTGCCTGTCTTTGTGAGTCAGTATCCCGACTTCATAGAAAATGGGTATGATGCCAAACCAAGAGACATGTCATGAGGTTTTATTCAATTATTTTCATAAACAGTTTTGGTAACATTTCCTGAAAGGCATGACACAACAGGCAGAATATTATTCACACCAAGTCGCTCTCTTTTCACAATTTAAGCATTTGTTAATATTTACTTCCAGCATAAAATTGTGGAACTTTAAAAAATAGATTTCTTTTATGGAGAGACCATCTGTTTGCAAATTTCTAAACAGAAGTTAATCTTCTTGCATTGCTAGTCATGATTGCCTAAAGCTAGCTGGAGCCATTGACAACTCTAACAAATAAAGGAAGTAATTAATTGATAAATAAATCACAAGAAATAACAAAAAAAACCTAACAACTAATCCAAGCTACTGCAGTTTAAAAACAGGTTGAGAAGGTCAAAGGAAGTGGTGATAATTTTACAACAATAATCTTGAAAGACAGCAACAAGTCAGCAAACAGACAAGATTATTCTGTTGTATGGTGGAATCAACTCAGTAAGCAATACCACAACATACTAAAAGTCAACATAAATAACTCATTTCCATGGTGGTCAGCCAAAACCTGTTAAACTGTGAATTGCAGCATCCCTGAAGGAATCAGGAATAAAAAAGAAAACTTCTGCTTAGATACAACTATGTTAGCAATCATCAGTGATGGGAGCAACCACAGAAGTACATGACATTTTAACAGACGTTTCATAACAGTCTAAGCATTTTAAAGTTTGCTTGTGTGGCAAAAAACTCTTTAATGCGTATGTATTCAAAAAAGTGAGCGGTTATTGACCGCAAAGTTGCTTGCCCCAAGATTAAATCTGATACACTGTGTGCTATTTGTCAGTGAAGAAAGTGGCTCCTACATGTGACACAGCCAAGCTAATTCAGTCTTTTAATAGATAATGTAATCTTAATGGGCAACATATCCTTTCATTACTGTCATTTAATGTACTTACAAATGCTCCTGTCCCCCCTCTCAGACAGAATGTGCCCATCAAGACTGCAGTTCCCTATTAGGTAATTCAGTACTGGGCAGTAAGATGTTGAACAGTAATTGAAAAACTGTAAATACAAATTACAAAAACATAAAG